AGATACGATATTTGACGAAAAAACAATTAAAATAAGAATTTATTTTAATGTTTGTTATTAATATTTAAAGCAAAACTATTGATATTATTGAAGGGTTTCAAAATCCTATATAAAACAATAAATTATAAAGACTGATAATGATGGCGAAGATGATGTTGCTGATGTGAGGATGGAAAGTAGACGGAGAAGACGGAGAAGACGGAGAAGACGGAGAAGACGGAGAAGACGGAGAAGACGGAGAAGACGGAGAAGACGGAGAAGACGGAGAAGACGGAGAAGACGGAGAAGACGGAGAAGACGGAGAAGACGGAGAAGACGGAGAAGACGGAGAAGACGGAGAAGACGGAGAAGACGGAGAAGACGGAGAAGACGGAGAAGACGGAGAAGACGAAATAGATAAATTGGAGAACATACAAATTTAATGATGGATCTCATATTTAAAATGAATATTAGTTCAACTTTTGTTGTTTTAATTTTAATTTATATAAAAAGCCTAAAAATAATTAATTTTAAATAGAATAACTAAAAATATAAGTCAAAAACTTACATTTTTTTCTTATTCCCAAAAGTGCATTGTAGGGTTATCCTTTTTCTTTATACACAAGGAAAAGATTGTAAAAAGTTAAAAATGACTTGTTTTTGTTCTGGAAGTTCTACCAAAATCGACAAGGGATTGATCATTTACAACCAGTTTATCACACCCCTATAATAGTAATTTTATTAAAAAAATAAACCAAAAAAAATTATTATTAATTAATAATATTTATCAAATCAAATATTTTAAATCTATTTTAGTAATTTTAAAAATAATATAGAGTTGTTTAAAAAAATAAATTATTACATAATTAAAATATATTGTTTTATTAAAATTTTTATAATCTAAACATATTTTGTAATATAGTAAATAAAATAATTAATGAAATTAATTGATATAATTATTTTTACAAAATTGAGTCTTTTATATAAATTATTTTTCATACAATTTGATAAAATAACTAAGGTATCATGTTTATTATCACATACATACCACAATAAAACACACAAAGCAGTTAAATAACATTTTGCATATTTTTTTTCTTTTCAACGCGTTTTCAGATCGTGTATAACTAAAGTTGAGCATTTTGGTCAATTTGCAAATTTAACTTATATTTATCACTTTAAAAACATGATTATTTCTTATTTTTACCAAAATTTATCAGTTGTCTTTTTATCATAAATATTATTATTATTAATTTTAAGTTATAAATATAAAAATTTATAATATGTGATTTCATAATTTATGGTATATTTAAGTAAATTTAGTCCATAATATAATTACATATTTTTATAATATATTTGTATTTTATGAAATATTATTATATTTATAATATATAATTCTTAATGAAAACACAATCAAATTATATGATAAAAATTAATACAATTGTTAAAACCAATACTATATATATATAAAAAGTATAACTTTTTGTATTTTATTGTCTTTAAAATCTTAAAAATAACAAACATATGCAAGACTCAAATATCAACAAATGTTTTGAAGAATTCCGCAATTACTTTACTTTTGAATTGAAAACGCAACTTCCTGAAAATCGTCTACGTGATTTCCATTTTTGTATTTTCTGTGGAAAAATGTTTAATAGACGTAAATACATGAAACACTCTTTGGAAGCAAAACTCGAAGAAACACACAAATTTAAAAGTGTTCACAATTTTAAATTTTTTGATGAGAATTTTGACAAATTTAATTTGATTGCGCTCAAAGTTGATTGATTATCGAAATTTCCAAATGAATATTTCTGTTTTACACAGCGAGTCAACACAAGAAGCACTCGACAATATCAGTAAAAGTTTTGATGTTCCTATTATTAATTGTGAAGATGTTGTTTCAAAAAATTCAACTGGTATTGTGGACTCTGGAACTTTATTAAAAACTCCTGCTATTACAAATTTTATTCCAACTCCTCGAACAATTCAAAACGAAAATGCGACACATGTTGATTATAGCCAGGCTACCGACAACGAATCTCAAAATACCAACGATTCGACCAAAGAAGAAATAAAATTACTGTGTTTGAGATTGAACAATTGGAAAAAATGAAACACATTAAAGAGCTCCTCAGACCAGAGAATAAATACTCCGCCGAGTACATCGCACAAGAAACCAACAAAGAAATACATAAACGACTTGGTAAAAATGTTGATAGTTATTCAACAACAAATGATGCTGGAAATGAAAGAGGCAGCTTTATAACAATGATGGCCGCGTTGATGATGGGAGCATGTGGGTTGACAAATAATCAAATTGATTCCATGTCAAAATTGATTTCCATAATTTTGCTAATGTCCAATGTTCCCCAAAAAGTTGTTAACACTGCTCTGAGTTCTTCAACTATGCAACGGAGATTTGTGTTAATTTCGAAAAAAACCGGATATGACTTACAACTAATCTTCAAGCAGTGTGACTATTATACATTAATGGCGGATTCAGCAATGAACAGTGGGGTCGAGTACTTTTCTCTCTTTGTAAGATTCGTGTTTTCAGATGGATCATTTGTTGATAAGAGAATCAAAATCGAAAACTATGATGGCAAAACGGATGCTGCGGGGTGGCTCGGTTGGATAATGAAAATGTTGGAATTGATGGATGTTGACCTAATTAAATGCATTGGTGCTTGTTTTGATGGATCTTATGTTCTGATACGAAATGGTGGGCTCTCTGGTAAACTCCTAGCTAAAATAAAAGAGAGAGACGGGCTGAACGGATTTGATTCAAACTACTGCTTTTCACACAGAACAAATAAAGCGACTGAAAAGTGTTTTGAATCGCAATGGGGGCTGGCTATTGAAAGTTTCTTGGATGGGTTAACAGTTCAGACAACAAGAACTGCATGGGATCAATTCTGTGCCAAAAATCATATCAAAGGTGCAGTTCTCAAATTGGTTCAACGATCTGAAACAAGGTGGCTCCAAACAGTATTGATTCTTGATAATATGTTTGAGAATCTGCCTTCACTTCAAGAATTTTACAGTGAAAGAGAACAATGCCAAAAGCCTTTTGGACCTCGCAACATTATGGGTGAGTGTAATGTCAACTGCAAATTGTTTGTTGCGTGTATGTTCTTCACTCAGATAGTGCTCAGTAAGGTGAAGATAATTAACGATTGGCTACAGACCGCCAATTTACTATACCCCGTGGCATATCAACGTGTTAAAGATCTAATTTTAAACATCTTCGAGCTCAGACACAAGGTGGTGTTAACCGATTATTTAGAAAAAATAAAATACACTGAAGATCTTGACGATAACGAAAAGTTCATTTTGAAAAAGTATTCAATTCACCTGCTCGTTAAGTTGAGTGACGCGATGATTTTGAGGTTTGCAATTCCTTCAAGAAAAATGACCAAAGAAGACCTTTTCGATGCTGGATTGTTGAAGGAGAACCAGGTCAAAGGAACGAATATGGCAAATTTCGGGAAATTACAAAGAAAACTCAAAGGAAAAGAACTTGTAGTAAACATCAAAATTTACAACAACTTTGATGCAAAATCATTCGAGGAAAGTGATGACCAAGAACTAAAAGCGGAATTTACAAAGTTTCAAGATTGGTATTGTGCCAACATTGAAAAAGTCGAAGAAATTGCAAACAGGTTGGAAAGGGAAGAAAGGGCTGATGCTACTGAGGCGATACGTACTCTTGTTAAACAAGTGAGATTAACAAGTACAGATCAAACAGAAGCAACAGATATCGCTGAAGATTGCAGCAGTAGTGAAATTGATAAAGAAAAGAGAGCAAACGCCATTCAACACAGAAAGCAAATAAGGGCTTTATTCAAAAAAGAAGCAGAAGATTTCTTAAAAAGTTGCCCAGTAAAAAAACTAACTTTGAACACCTTGTTTGTCTTGATGACTCAAGAAGAAAAGAATCAATTTTCATGTTTATTTAATCTTGTGAAAAAGATGAATGCTAAGAGTCCAACCACTTGCCCAGTTGAAAGATCTTTTAATAAAATTGGACAATATGATAGAGCAAACATGAGCGTTGAAAAGAAAGTTGCTTACATGGATGTTGGGGATGCTCTGAAAAACTAATTACCAATTTTTATTTCGATTTGTTTAAATGAATATTTTTATATATAGAACAGTCTAAAAAGCTCAATTATTTCGGGTTGGTTTTTTAATGATAAAACAGTCTTAAAAATGTAATATTTCGGGAAGGGTTTTTACTCTAATAAAAGTCATTTTCAACAATATCAAATAAAAGTATAAAACGACCCAGCCATCACCGTGAACGGGCAGGAAGGAGGGCTATTGGAATGATTTAGGTATTAACTTACATTCTTTTTCTAAACCTCACCCTCTAATTTAAATAAAATTATACTATAAATTAATAAATACATACATAATTTAATATTATGGGTAATTAATTAATCAATAACTAATATTAATCATATATATTACTAAATAATTATTATTTAATTTTATAATATAATTTATAATAAATTTAATTGTATTATGAAAACTATAATTTAAATCTAACAAGTTTTTCAAATCAAGCAGGTTTACTTTTTGAGAAAAATATGTCTTACAATGATAACCCATTTAAAAGAGATTTATGTCAAGTCATTTGAAACTGAAGGAGACTTGTTACTGATAGTCTCAACTAAGATCTATGATCAATAACCGAACAGAGAAGAAGTTTGCGGCTGCTATAGTCAAGTTCTTGATGTGGGTGGAGAAGAAATTTGGGGAGAAACTGTCTGTCAAAAGTTGTTAGACAGATTTTATGTACTGTTGTAATAGTATACCATCACCTCTTGTTAGATTCATCCAAGCAACTCATTTAGTAGTGATTGATAATGTTAAGGATGAAGACGGGAAAACGAATGCCGAGTGTTTGATAGCATTGAATGATGCATTAGTGACTATTGGAGAGATAAAGATACTATAGTTAAAAGGTATGCGAAATCCATTTTTAGGAAATTGCAAATGATCAGGCCAACAGAACAAGTCATCGTACGTTGCCTTCACGGACAGTGAGAGGCTGATTGGTGACACAGCAAAGAACCAGATTGCTATGAATGTGAAGAATACAGTCTTCGATGCAAAGAGACTGATTGGAAGACGCTTCAGTGATCCAGCAATTCAAGAGGATATGAAGCACTGGTCGTTCACTGTCGTCAACAATGGCAATGACAAGCCAGTGATTCAAGTGGAGTACAAGGGAGAGACTAAGAAGTTCACACCAGAGGAGATCAGTTCGATGGTGTTGGCGAAGATGAAGGAGACAGCAGAGGCGTTTGTTGGTGGGAAAGTCAACAACGCAGTCATCACATGTCCAGCCTATTTCAATGACTCACAGCGACAGGCAACAAAAGATGCAGGCACAATAGCAGGCATCAATGTGCTCGGAATCATCAATGAGCCAACAGCAGCAATAGCATATGGACTTGACAAGAAGACAGAGAGAGAAAAGAACGTCTTGATTTTTGATCTTGGTGGTGGAACATTTGATGTCTCACTTCTTGCTATTGACTGGTGTCTTTGAAGTGAAGGCAACAAACGGCAATACACACCTTGGTGGCGAAGACTTTGATAACAGAATGGTCAACCACTTCATTGCTGAGTTCAAGAGAAAGTACAAGAAAGACATTTCAGGCAATGCACGAGCTGTCAGAAGACTCAGAACATCATGTGAAAGGGCAAAACGAACACTGTCATCGGCAGCAACAGCAAACATCGAAGTCGACCAGTTGTATGAAGGCATCGACTTCTACACATCAATCACAAGAGCACGTGGAGTCCCATAGTTGAAGTCACATTTGACATTGATACAAATGGGATTCTGAATGTCTCAACTGAAGACAAAACAACAGGAAAGAAGAACAAGATCACAACCACAACGACAAGGGAAGACTCTCAAAGGAGCAAATCGACAAGGTGGTTGCAGACGCAGAGAAGTTTAAGGCAGAGGACGACAAGATGAAGGAACTTATCGAGGGGAAGAATGGACTTGAAAACTTCTGCTACTTGATGAAAAACACACTCAACGAGCAAATTACAATAAAGCTCTCACCAGATGACAAGGCGGCAATTGAAGCAATTATCAAGGAGACGCTCGACTGGCTCGACAAGAACCAATCGGCATCAAAGGATGAATACACACAGAAACAGAAGAAGCTGAGGCTAAGATCAAGCCAATCTTCACTAAAATGTATCAACAGAATGCAGCAGCTGGTAACATGCCCGGTGCACAACAATGGGGTGCAAAGAAGAGCGACACAAAGGGATCAAAGATAGAAGAGGTCGACTGTTGTGATTCACTTATCTTTGCAAAATTATTCGAAGTGACTCAAAAAACTAATTTAAATTTGAATTAGTTTTTTAACTATTAATTTGTAACAACAGTACTTGTTGTTTTGAGTTTGTCCATTATTAAATGTATTTTTGGAAATAATTATAATTTTTGATAGTAAATTAATAATAAAAATATAACTCGTTATATAGTTTTAAAAACACAGCAGACACAACAAAAAGGATAATTTTATACACAGGAAAACATCCTTAATAGCGGGAGGACGTCCCTATCTCACAAATTACCTATTTCCCCTATATTCCCATCCTTCTTCCCCATGTCCATTTTTTTCTTTATTTGAATAAAATATATTATATTATTATGTATATTATACATAATAATATATTATTATGTATTATAATGGATTATAATATAATATACAATATATATCTAGTAATTTGATAAAAACATGAATTTATTTTTTTGTTCAGAAATGCGTTTTTTATTTGTATATAAATAATAAATAACATATTTGGGTCATGATATTTATTTTGGAAATAATTCCACAGTTTTATAGTAGATAAATTGGTGAAAAATATTTTTGTAACAAGATAAAAATAATTTTCTTTTACCACAAATGAACAAATAGCTTGGAAATTATATATATTTTACTTAAAAAAATAAAACCTTTTACCAGTTTATTAAGTTGAAAAGATGCTTAAAAAAGATTAATTTAAAAAATATGTTGTTGTTTTAGTTAAATAGGAAAACAAGAGGATGGTTTTATTATAGTTTATTTTAATTAATTCTTAATTGATTTTTTCGATGCTTAATTTGACTAAATATAAATTCCAAATTCCAAAACGGGTTTGTTTTCATTGTCAATTGATAATTCTTTTTGCAAAATTGTATTTAATTTGAACATTAATAATACCAACAAACGGGATTTTCAAAGTATCTATAATTTGTGATGGAATTTGATAAAATTAAGTTGCCTCTCTTGAATAGAGAGTTTTTCATAAAAAAATAACACAGTTTTGTTGTAAATTATTAAAATTTTTATTGATAAAACAGTCATGTTTTGATTAATTTTTAAAAAGTAAATGAATTAATAACAATGGTTATATAACTATATTGAATAATTTGAAGAATTAAGACAAAAATGAAATTTGTATATTAAAAACTAAGTTTATTTCAAGTGTTAAAAACAATTATTATTTTATATATTATTAATTAACTTTGTGTTTCAAAAAATATGTTTTTCATTTTAATAAAAATATAAACAACATTTGATTAATATTTTTTGATTAAAATATTTATTTTATTTTACATTTTAAAAAATCCATTTTAAAAATATAAAATGAAACAAACCAAAAATACAATGAAAAAACACAATATAAATAGATGATCTGTAAAAGTATTTGTCAAAAATTAACAGTTGAAATAATTATGCCTCTTGGAGAAAGGTTTTCAGTTTCCCCACGAGGAGAGAAAGGGAAGAAAACCCAGATATGAAGCGAAAACGAAGGACTAAACATATAGCAGGAGTGACCTAGGAAAGGCTAGAGTTAAACTGTTGGGACCCGAAAGATGGTGACTATACTTGTGGTGTTTAAAGCCAAAGGAAACTTTGGTGGAAGGACTTAGGAGTATTAACGTGCAAATTACTTGCAATATATGAGTATAGGGCGAAAGACTAATCGAACTATCTAGTAGCTGGTTCCACCTGAATATTCCCTTGGGAAGGTTGAAGTGAGAAAGTAGTGACGATTGGTAAAGATAATGATTGGACATGATAAACAGTTTGATTTTCAACAATTTAACAAACTATGAATAGTCGAGAGATTCAAAAATATACCAATTTATTAGGGATGAGCATATGCAGACTTCAAATCGTCCAAGTTTGGTAAACAGGACTGGCGATGCGGGATGAACCAAACATACAGATAAAGTATCCAAGTCTTGCATGAGGAGAACCATAAAAGGTGTTCATTCATATTGACAATAGGGCGATGGCCATGGAAGTTGGAAATCGCTAAGGAGTGTGTAACAACTCACCTATCGAATGGATGAGCCCGATAATGGAAAGTAATATTATGAGAGATTAATACTGTATCCTTGTGAAGGCTGAAGCGCATGAGGAGTAAGGAAATGCATGGTGTCAAGAACATATGAGTGATAAAGGTAGAGAAGTGATTTCTATTGAAACAGACTTGAGTACAAATCTTGGTGGAAGTAGCAGATATTTGGAAGAAAAACATTCAAGGGAAAAAGGTTCCTAGACAGCATTAATTGGAATAGGGTGAATCGATCCTAAAAGACAAACGGGGAAATGCAAGAATGAACTCATACAAAAGACAACAAGCCTGGCAAAACAACTATACCCAATGAATATATAAACTTGTATCATGAAGTTAAATCATTTTTAAAGTATTAGTTTATTATTTAATTGTTTATATTTATAATAGTATAATTTTATAATACAATTAAATTAGTAAAAGTGTTAGAATTTTTTATAAAATATATAATTTTATTTTTGGTAAATTTTACTATAAACTAAACTATATTAATTGATGTTTTTGTATTTTTTTTGTCAAATCGGTTTGTTGCAATCAAAAAACCAAAACAGTTCAAATCTATACAAAATTGATGTTAAAAAAGACTGAATTAATTCTACTCACGGACGTTTTTAATTTTTTGGCGTGAAAAAAATATGATTGTTAACTTTGTTTTGTTTGATGGCAAAGTTGATTTTGTTATAATTTGTGTTGTGTGTATCACGTTTTGACAATTATTATTGTAAATTTTGAACCTCTTTTGATTTATTTGTTATCGTTGGATGGTTTTTAATGTGTTGTGATTTGTAATATTTGGTTTTTTAAAAGGTCTTTAATATGAACTTTATTTTGGCATTCACATGGTATTTTTAGAAATATTGTTGTTTTAAAAATATGTCAATGTTTTAGAAATTTTGTTTTTCAAATTGTTATTCTTTTGGTGTTTGTATTTGTGTTATTTAAATGTTATTGATCCCGAGATATTTTGTATTTATTACCTATCATTTTTGGGTAAATAAACTATATTTCAATATGTGTGTCTTTTAACTATTTTTATTGATATTTTAAGTTATAGATTTGGTTGATTATTTTTATTGAGAGTAATTTATTATTTTGTCCTATAACTGCTTTTGATTTATGTACGTTTCTAAATAAAATCCCCGATTTTTGTAGACATAGCTATCCTAATATTTAAATGTTCATTACACATTAATAATAAATATATAATTATTTAAACTATAAGTTTAAAGTTATAAATATAAATCATGTACTAAACAATTTAATTAATTATTAATACATTGTTTAGATTTGTATAGTTTAAAACAATAGTATTGATATTATTTGTTATATAGTATTATTTATAATTAACATACATCTTTTACTTTTTGGGTTTGATTATTATTATTTAATATAGTTTTAAAATATAAATATTTGGTTAGTAACGTTAAATATAAATATGATAATATACATTTCTCTATTATTATTAGTTGTTTTATAGCAGTTTTAATTATTAATTAATGGCTTTTTGGTTTTATTTTTAGTTTATTGGGTTTATAATATTACATATTATAATAAAAATACAATTATTTAATAGATTGTTAATTCTTTATTATTTGTGTTATTAAGATGTTATTTGTAACTATCGGTTTGATATGTAAAACAGTGCTGCATTTGTCACAATTTTTGTGTTAATTATGGCAATCACAGCAGTAATAAAATATAAACCCATATTTAAGAATTGAATTGGCTTGTTTTCCCATTATTTTGCCAATTATTGATTCAAATAACTATCTGTTTCTAAGTTTTTTCATTTACAAAAGTCGGCTTTAAGCTCGCCGCTAGATCCAAAAAACCAAGTGAACATAAATTCAAGACCACTTTGGTGACGTGGCAAATAACAAAGAAAAAACACTTTTGTCACGTGATAGACCCCGTGGCAACATAAAATAAATAATAATTTATAATTATATATATTACAATAACACCTAAAATTCAATTATCTTACTTCCAACTATTTTATCGGGCTAACATGATATTGAGAATTTACTTTTCTGAACCGTCTAACCTTTTCTTTCTTGGTTTCATGTTATTAATAATTCAGTTAGTGTTTATTTTCAGATTATGCCTTTTTGTAACAATATATTTAATACAATATTTTTATTGTATTTTTGACAGATATTTCATAATATTACTTGTCAAAGAAAAGTAAATTAATTGTTTGCATCAACAATAAACATTAAGATTATAAACTGTAAATAATCATATATCAATTACAATTATATTATTAAAAATACATCTACAGTTTTGGTAAATGAGATTTAAACCCAAACCCAACACGTATACATCTGTTAATATAGTTAATTTTTAATACAACTAATAGAAACAATTTTACACCAAAAAACTATATTATATAATTACGTTTACTATTAAAAAACAATAAAAAAGACAAAAAATAATGGTTAAAATATAAATTAGTTATTAAAAATTAGAAAATAAAACAATTAATTCAAATATTAGATTAAGTAAAAACTATAATAATAAATTAAAATTAATTATAATCAAAAATCACTAAACGTAAAAACTTGAATATAAATAATATTTTTTGTTGGAGTTGTGTTTTTAAGGATGCTTGTTCATGATACAAAAAATGTATTTAAAATAATAAATAATGGTTCTTTTATCTTTAAACACAACCCTATAATAATAATTTATTACTTATTATCAAATTAACACTAACAATTTCAATGACCTTAATACAGACAAACAATGTTTATTTTAAAGGACTTTAAGAACAACACAAAGTTACACAAATGTCATCGTGGAACACGTTTTCATCGCTTCAAAGTAACGATCTTCAGGCAAAAAACATTTTAAACTTGTATAGATCCATTGAAATACCTATTTTGTGTGTTTTTAAACAACAACCCACTATAACACACAGGTTGTATTCGGTAAATGACAAAATTGTTAAAGGATTGTATGACATGCTTGGGGAAACAATTGATGGTTCTTGTACAAAAGAAATAAAACGATTTTGTTATACATTAACTGACACATTAACAATTCAAATTTATGCTGCAACACACACTCGCTCCGACTCTCCTAAACAAATTTATAGTTGTAAGTCGGCTGGTTGCAATTCTTCTATAGTTGTTTTCATATTTAAACAAAAGTGCCTATTTATTTACTACAATCCATGGCACATTGATCACTCGGAAACAACAATAACAAAGGGTCGACACGAACTCATTCCATTTGATAAAAGACAAATTATACTTCGAGATGCAAAACAGAAAGTGAGTACGCAACTTTCCAGGCTAAATTACTTTTTTACATACAATCCTGAAATGCTTAATGATATTCGTAATAGAGCTTATAAATATCAAACTATCAAACAGGAAATAAGCTTAATATATACCTAAATTCCCTTTCAGATTTTTCAACTGTGTTATTCGTGGACACTCAAAGGAGATTTGTAGGATGTTTTTGCCTCCACATGCTATCAGTTAATGAATAAGATAATTCATGTCTTGTCATAGATGACACACACACTGCACAAATAAATTCTCCAAACCTTTATTCGTTGTTGTTTTTAAAAAGAATGATATAACAAGATTGTTGTCATTTGGGTTTTTACGTGACGTATCCAAACAAGTGTTTGAGGAATATTTAAAAGAACTTAAACAGCAACTTGATTTAAGATGTTTATATCCCGTTGGGTTTACATGTGACCGGTCTAAAGCAAAATCATCAGCACTATATTCAGTATTTGGCCAACAGACAAAGATAAGACACTGCTGGTTACACATACATCGCAATTTAGAAAAGCATTTTTCATATGACGATGAAATTGTATATTTGTTTGATTCACTGTTTAAAGAAAACGTTGATAGTGAAAAAGCGGAGGCGTTGTTTTTAGCGAAACTAACATTGTTAATTTCTTCAGAAAACATACTATAAGATACAATTTCAAACATAATGACACCATTGGATCACGAAGAGTATTCCGATTTTTTAAAACTAGTGTTGTCATCTGATACATTTACAGACAAAAATATCAATAATCGATCTGACAAGTTTAATATTCTTAAAACACTCTTTGATATAAAACATACCTTTATGCCATCTCAATTATGTCAAGCGCTGTATTCAACTTCAAATTTGGCAGAAGGTTTTTTTACATGCAAAAGCACCAATACATGGTCGAATTCCAACACTATTGGAAGCGGCAAAGGCTTTTGTATTGGACACACACCAACTCCAAACGAACAAAAATACACTTTCTGAAGAACAGATGAATGCTCTCAAACTGCTGGTCCCAATTAATGTGATACCCAAACTTACTTCAAAAACAGTTTGAAGTAATTTTGGACAGCTTTTGTACGTTTGTTTGTATGAGTAAATGTTCGTTGGGTAATGGATGTAATTGTGAATGTGAAATGTATTTTGAAACGGGGGTTCCTTGTTGTCATATGATATACTTCAGAAAAAGAGGAAGTGATGTGTTTGTTGATCCGCGTTGTCCACTTGGATACTACATAAACATCAGGGGTAAAACACGACTAATCGTGAAGGGTCCTTGTTCTGCACCACTTATTACTCAAGATGATTTTGCAGAAGGATGTTTAATTATGGAAAATATAGTTACTATTCATGAAGTTAAAGTCGTTTCTGATAATAACACTTTGAATGAGAATGATGTCAAAAAGAAATTGTTTGATTTAACATACAATTTGAGGAGAAAAACTGTATTCAAAAAAGTTGTTAGTTTTGTTGAAGAAATTGACAAATTACGAGAAGACAAAACGGTATATTAAAAATGACGAAGTAAAAGACCCTCTGGTTATTGCGTGTGCAGGAAAGAAAAAACTAAAACTTCAAAGAATGTCGATGAATCATTGTCAATAAAACGCAAAAAACAAAACAAGAAAAAAGAACAAATCAAAGATTTTTAAAAAACCAAAAAAATGATTGATTTTTTTACAAGTAAAAAATATTTTTTATTGTCTTTATAATTGTTTCTTAATAGTAAACGTAATTATATAATATAGTTTTTTGGTGTAAAATTGTTTCTATTAGTTGTATTAAAAATTAACTATATTAACAAATGTATACGTGTTGGGTTTGGGTTTAAATCTCATTTACCATACCAAAGTGGGATTACTTGGATAATACCAATTGTGTCCCAAATGATGTTGCAGCTGCACATTGTGTCTTGTTGTAACAAAACAATGCGGGAATTTGTGTTCAATGTGAATATGAATATTACCTTGATAACACATCGCAATGCGAAATGTGTCCGAGTAATTGTTTGAAGTGCAGAAACAAAACAACATGCACCAAATGTCACGACAATTACTTTGTCAACGAATTTGATAAAATTGAAAGAAAATCCAATCTAACAGGGTGTCTTTTTGCAAATGATTTGGCTGCAAAATGTGTTCAAGTGGATTCTTTCTTGTCAACAAGCGTTGTGTATTTTGCAGTACCAAAAATCCCAATTGTGTAGAATGCGATTCACAGAATGGAAAATGTACATTATGTGAATCAGATTATTTAGTGGAAGAAGATCACTGCCTTTTATTTTCATCAAAATAACATTGTGCAGCAGCAAATGATTCAAATGTATAACATGCGACTTTTGGTATTCGCTCAACAATTATCACTCAACTTGTTACTCCAAACCAGTTTGGTGGGTTATCATGATAAGTTGTTTTATCTCGGTCTTCATTGTTGTTTGTGTGATTGCTGTGATGTACTTTGTTTCCAATACCATTCTGAAGAAAGTTGATTTTGCACTTAATGAGAAGAAAGAGAACATGTATGTTGAAAAGTTTTGGATTAATGAATCCAATGTTCTGTGGAAGTTATTAAACAATTCTTCACTTGGTGTTTCAACTGATTATTTGAAATTTGGAGAAGAAAATGAATTGGAGGGAGCTATTCATGTCAACACATTCACTTCAGAGTATTTCCAAATTGCAAACATGAAGGGGAAACATGGTGTTTTGGTCAAATTTGTACTATGAAAAGAACTTGACCAGATGTATGAAATGGAGGTCAATCCGAGTCAACTTCTTTTGAAGAAGAAACAAGGCGCAAACATTGAAATTAAAGTAAGACCCCTTTACACTTTTCATATAAAAGATAACATCCAATTTTTGTACAAGACGTCTTTACAAATGAACAAAAAATTTCAAACATCAAAATAGCATTTGACACAGAACTCTCAACACGATTAAATCCAAATGACATTTGCGAAGAATTTAAACTTGGAGAAGGGAGTTTTGGAATTGTATATAAAGGAAGATATCAGAACAATATTGTTGCAATCAAAAAGATGAAAAGGTTGTGCTACATCCAAGGACAAATGGAAGAATTTGAAAAGGAAGTGTCAATGTTGGACAAATTCAGAAGTGATTATATCGTCCATTTCTATGGTGCTGTGTTTATCCCAAATAAAATATGTATGGTCACTGAATTTGCACAAATTGGGTCTTTGCATGACTTGGTGAAGCATAAAAAGAGTGAATGAATAGAGAATAAAATAAAGATCAAAATTGTGTTAGATGCAGCATATGGCATATCCTACCTTCATTCCAATGGCATTTTACATAGAGACATCAAGCCAGATAATATCCTTGTTGTTGCACTCGATTTTGATCAAAAGGTGAATGCAAAACTGACTGACTTTGGATCATCAAGAAATATTAATATGATGATGACTAATATAACATTCACTAAAGGAATTGGTACATTAGTTTTCATGGCACCTGAAGTGATAATGTCCCAAAAATACAAAATATCTGCAGATGTATATTCATTTGCAGTCACTATGTATGAATGCTTTGCGTGGAGCCGGTCATATGCATCCAATGAATTTTTATACCCATGGAATGTGGTCGACTTTGTTACAAAGGGGAAACGCCTTCCAAAACCAGAGAACTTCTCTGATGAATGCTATAAAATAATTTGCGATTCTTGGAAACATAAAGCAGGCGATAGACCTCCAATTGAAAATGTTATAAAACAAATTAAAGCTTTGATTGTGTAATTTGTATTGTGTTTAACATTTGGGTTAATTTTAATAACAGGAAGTAGTATTAACGTCAAAAGTTGATAATCAAGACAAAATTTAATGATTTAACACATTAACTTTGTTTTTCAATATATTTGTTTGACAATTGTTGTGTTTGTAAAACGATTCAACCATTTTAAATGATTTATTAAAAAAATCTATTTTGAAACATAAAATAAAAATTTAATTTTACATATAAATTTGGTTTGAAAAAGATAAAAAATATGAAGTGGGAAGATATTGAATTTTTAGTGGTTTTGGATAATGTGGTTAAAACATAGGAAATCCAATTTATCGGTTTTGTAACTGACATAAATAATACGATTACATATGCTAATAATAAAACCATATAATAAACAGTCTAGTTTTTGATTAATTACAACAACAATAAATTATTCAAAAATTATGGGATTTTATAACAAATTAATTCATTAATTATAAGTAGTAAAAGAATTAAAAAAACCCAAAAAACAAAACTTCCTGTTGATAAAAAATAAAAACCAACAACCACATTTTACGTTTGTTCCAACTTATTTATTTTTATTTTCTTTGATTACTTTTTTACACTTTTTAAAACAATACTTATCAGTGAATGTGACTGTGCTTGGAATGGTAATTTCCAGAGATTGACACCCATAAAAACAGTCATATCCAATCGACTTTACACGACTTGGTATTACAATTGTTTGTATTTTGATACATCGACTAAAAGCGCAAGACCCCAATGCACTGACGTTCTTGGGTATAACAACTTTTTCTAATTCAAAACAATTGAAGAAACATTGATGGGGTATTGCTTGCAATTGATGAGGAAGAGTTATATTCTTTAACATGTGACACTCGCGAAAACAAGACTTTCCGATGTTGGTAACAGTGTTTGGGATATCAACTGAGACAAGACAAGAACAACAATTAAAACACAAATCATATATACTGTTAATTTTTCCACCAATATCACATGAAGTCAATTTGATGCAATGATCAAATCCCTTTTCGCCAATAAAACATTCACAGTCGGGTATTACAATTGATTTTAACGATGAACAATCTTGGAAACAAAAATCACCAATCGACTTCAAATGGCCAGGAAACGAAAATCCACTTAATTTGCTACATCCATGGAAACAATATTGTGGCAATAAAGTGAGTGTTTCTGGCACACTTATTGACGTAAGACTGTAACAGTTGTCAACAAAACAACACCCAATTGTTGTAACTGTTATTGGAAGGTCAAGTACCTTCAATGCAAAACAGTTACCAAAACATTTGTTTCCTATTTATCTCAAATTGCTTGGAAGTGTTATTACAGATAAAGATTCACAGTAGTAAAAACAGCCCTCATAGAGTGAGGTGATTATGTTAGGCAATGAAAATTTTTTAAAATTTGAACGCGAATAACATTCATATCCAAGCATTTTTATAGTATTTGGTATATCATCGCCATAAACTTTTCTGTCACTTTTTGTGTATATAACATTCTTAAATGAGATATTTGAATGTAAGTGGGTTTGAGTACAATCGTAGGTCACTACAAACCAAACATTGATTTGGAAGAAGTCGATTTTGGTTGTTGTTTCTAGTTTTTTTTCTATTAAATAAATCATTACCGAAAACTTCATTGTCACAGTTCCATAAATTAAGTGTTTCGATCTTTGGAAAAAATTTGATAGTCTTTTTGTTTATTGGAACTGGGTTGTTGTGAAATTTGTCCATATTTCCTTGAAACTTTTTACAAACCATTTCCAATACAATTAAGTTGTTTATCGTCGAAAAATATTGGGAAACTACCATCATATGGTACACATCAAGTTGACTCATTGTTTTTTTTATTTTTAGTAATATTTATTGGTAAGTAGTATTAATTAGCACTTTTATAATAAATAAATATTATTCAAAATACTAATAAATATCAAAGTTTATATTTAAAAATTCGACAAAAAAATTGTTAAATCATAGTTTTAAACTCAAAAATTTAAGTTAAATTAACTTATTATTCCTTTTTCAATACGATTTGTTTGCCTTCTTTGTACACTTTGAGGTCATCTGGGTTGTCTAACTGACTGTAATCAAAGTCGATATTATCAATGTAAAGTGTATTTTTCAATTCCCCTCCATTGTGAACAAAAGTAAAACCAAGTCCTTGGTGCCAAAAGTAAACTTTTTTCAATACGCCTTCTTCCACTCTCAATCCATTTGCGTTACAACATTTGATACTCATCTCCACTATTTTAGCGTTATTGGTGACGATTGTTACATCTTTAAAATTAATTGAAATAATCTTGATGGAATCTGGTATCGACAATTTACCACCAAACCTTGTTATTCGTATTTCTTCCAGTGTTGTTGCTTTTCTCAAATCAAGTAAAAATTCTTGGTTATCACAAATGGCTTCACTACAGTCTATAAACAATTTATTAAGCTGCATATCTTTAATCATTTGGCATATTCTCTCACTATCATTTTCATCAACAGCTTGCATCATAAAAATGCTTTCCGATGACAATAAAGGCATTTCCAACTGGGTATCATAATCACTTTTATATATCAATAAATGTGGATTACACCTGTTCTGATTGTAAAAATCGTTGATTGCTTTCACATCATTTTCGTCGTTTACATAGTCCATGTTGTAGTAATCAGAAGTGTCATTGTGTTCCACTTATAAGGTCACTTTTATATTTCTACTCAGTAAGTTGATAATGTCATCTTTGAGTGATAAAATCTGACTAATTGTGTGTTTCAATGTTACTTCTTGAAGAGTTTGCAACGAAAATAAATTTCTCTGGAAATTACTGTCGCCGTAATAAGAATCATGTGACATTGAAAAACGTCTCAACCTTGTTAGCTTAGAGGCATTGTTCCCAATGAATGTGTCACTATCTTCAATAGACAAATCAGTCACTAAAGGTAATATTTTGGTGTCTATTGAGCTATGTGTGTTTCTTCTCGTAATATGAAGTGCTTTCAAGTTTACGAAAAGGTTCATTAATTTGTCCAAAGAAAAAGAATCATCAAAAATGTCTTTAGTAACAACAAGTGTTTCAACTTTTGGAAAATATCTTGACATTTTAGTTAATTTGTGTTCATCAAAAGCAATATTGTATGGCGTTGTATATAACAACGTCGTTGCCTCACGACAAGACTTGTTAACATAGACAAGGCGTTTTATGGATTTAAAATCCATATAAAGAACAACATTCATGATGTATATTCTTTCTAATCGCATTTTTAATAATACAGTTTGTTCATCTATTTATCATAATACTTGAGTCATGATTCATATATGAAGTTTAAATTATTTATGAATAATTTTACGTTAATAAAACGTAAAATATACAATATTATTATCAAACAAAACATCGTTTTTATTGACATAAACTGTGTTTAAACACATCAAAATTGTTTTAAAAATAAAAATAATATTTCCATGTTTTAAACTGTAATTTATAATTTTAATATATAAAAATAGATAGTATTTTATTGATTATTATTGTTAATTTACATGTGATTCCCAATAAATTCTGTTATAAACAAATACAGAAAAAACTATTGCTTATATTTTAATATATTTAAGTTGTTAAAAACAATTTTCATGTTCTAATTCTCATTCAAAAACATGTTTTTTGAACATAAACAATTTAATTATTTAAATCACACAATTTTTATAAATCCGACTTTATACAGATATCTGAAAAATAAACTGACACAGAAAAAACGGCTAATAATAATTTAATAGTACTTTATAGTTTTTTGTTTTTTTTATTTTTTTTTTCAAAATTTTCAATGAAATAATCATTATATAGTTTTCTAAAACCATTTTTATAGTAGATTGAATTAAAACATTTTAATTATTAAAATATTAATATGAAAAAAAAACAATAAACCAAATAAATAATATAAAAATTAATGTTAATAGTAAGTTAAAATATAAAAAATTCAATTTTTAAACTCATTCATCAGAATGCCACCACAACTCGACGTCTTTTCTTTTCAAATTGTCGCCAAGTACTTTTACTTGTATGAAGATTATGTTAATGCTGTTCAAATAAACAAAAAGTTTTTAAATATATTAGACCGTTTCCGCTACAACCCAATTTCTGTAAGTACTTTAAAACTGTTTCCTTACATTGAAACACAGCACTTGTACACAAAAAAGACACTTTAATTCCATTTGTTAAACGTTATGTAGTGTGGTTTACAGTTTCTTTGACAGACTCGTATTCTCTTTTTATGGATTTAAAAGTTGTTTACAAACACGTTAAAATAGACAACGAAGACTTTTTTACCAACTCAATAAGTGACATCAATGAAATATCAAAATCAGTCAACATTTACTCTTTATCACTCCTCAACAATTTCACAGAAATAACCGAATTAAGTGTTCCTCTTCACATTAAAAAATTGAAAACAAGTGTTTTTGATAATAACACAAATTTAGTTTCTGTTAATCTTCACAACAACATCAGAAAAATACCAACAAGATGTTTTTTTAACTGCGGCAATTTAAAACAAATAGATCTCCCACCCACACTTACAAAAATTGGAGATTCAGCGTTCAGTCAATGTGGAATTGAATCGCTTAAAATTCCAGACTCCGTGTCTTTTTTGGGTGAAAGTGCTTTTCAGAACTGCACAGAACTTGAACATTTGACATTTTCGAAATCACTGTTTATAATTCCAAATGGTTGTTGCGATGGTTGCCATGTTTTAAGTGATGTGGTTCTTCCAGAGAATCTTCTTGAAATTTGTTCGCGTGCATTTCAGCAGAATTACAATTTGGATGTCGATATTCCAAAGAGTGTCACTAAAATAGAACAAGACGCGTTTTACGAGTGTCTTGGCAATATTTATTTGGATGTTGGACCGGAATGTAAAATAGAGAAAGACTCTCCTTGGGATATTGACGTACTTTTTGGGACGTATAACTATAACAAAGAATGTAACCACGTTATATTTGCAGAGGATTTACACATTAAAGTTAACTTCACTCCTTTCAAAAAAGATAAGTACATTAAAGTCATTGATTTTGGAAATCTAACAACAAAAAAACTCAATTGGAGCTGCAGTGGCATACAAAATTTAGAAAAAGTATATATGTCACCGTTGGTTACAAAATTTAAAGGAATGATGTTTAAAAATTGTGTAAAATTGAAACACATTTTTGGGATGGAAAATGTTGTAAAAATAAGGTTTGAATGTTTCAACAACTGTGTTGCACTTGAAGAACTTGTGATCAACAAAAGTGCAAAGATTGAAACAAACTGCTTTGTAAACTGTACATCACTCACAAAACTTGAAATCCCAAATTATGAGAGGAAAGTCGAGTTTTTGGTGACACAGGAAGACCAGAAGGTGATTGAACAATTTAACTATGTGTGCACACAAATTAGCGTTTGTTTTGATGCAAATAATTGCAAATCAAAACTTGTAGAATTCACAACAAATCCAAATATAAATACAAAACAAGATGCGTTTTTTTGAGTGGGTTGGTGTTTGCAAAAACAAAGAAATTACGAAGATTGAAGTTCCAGTTAATGTGACTAAAATAGGACTCATGATGTTCGCAAATGACTACATCAAAAATCTGAATTTGGGGAATATCAAAGAAATTGATGAGTATTGTTTTGGGAGTGCACTTGAGGAGGTCACAATTCCAACAACACTCACAAAAATAGGTCACAAATTATTCACAAAATGTAATAATTTAAGAAAGGTTGATTTGTGTGGTAAAGGGAGTTTTAGTGGGGAAGTGACTTTTGAGGAGAAGAAGAAACTTGAGAAATGCGGTGTTCATTGTGACAAAGTTGTTTTTACATATAAAGATTACTCACAGATGAAATTTGTGACCACTTGTGATGTACTTTCGTTATCGGAAGGAAACAACTTAATACAATCACTTCCTTCAATTGTGATCCCAGACACTATACAAGTCATTTTCAACAACTGTTTTGCGAATTGTATGTATCTTGAAGAAATTGTGTTGCCTTCGAAACTCACTGAAATTTGCAATTTTGCGTTTTTTAAATGTTATTCACTCAACAAAATTGTGTTACCAACACATTTGCAAATTATTGGGAAATCTGCATTCATGTTTTGTGCTTCTTTAAAAGACATAGACATTCCATCAAGCGTCACTTTCATTGGAAAATCCGCGTTTGAGGGGTGCGTCAAACTACAAAAAGTTGTTTCTCCAACCATTGTTTTCAATTCACCAAAAGTGTTCAAAAGGTGTTGTTCACTCACTAAAATTGATGTCTTACATTCGAGAGAAATGAACATAACAATGAAGAAAACTTTTAAATATAGCTATCAATTGTCTTCAATAGACATTCCAAAGAGTGTCATCAAAATAGGAGATTACACATTTAAAAACATGTATTGGTTAGATGAAATATCAGTACCACAAAATGTTGTCTTGATTGGTAATAAAGCGTTTTTACATTGCAATTTACTCACTCAAATAGTCTTTGGACATTCACTGCAAGAAATTGGCGCGTTTTGTTTTAAAAATTGCAGCAAATTGGAACAACTTTATTTTCCAAAATCGCTCACTTTTATTAAGAAAAACGCCTTCATACATTGCGACAAATTAAGTTGTCTGCATTTTGAAGGAAAGTTTCCAAAATGCCAAATTGAAACTTTTAATAGTTGTAATAACTTGAAGAACATAACAATTGAAGGTAATAAGATCAATGAAATAGAACAACCAGTCACTTTCACAATTGCGGACAATTTTGAAAAACACCAAATTCACTGCAAGAATGTAATTTTTACAAAAGTGATATTCAAAAGAATTTAAAAATTGTCAATTTAAACGGAACAACAATCGGAAAAATTCCACTTAATGTAACCCAAGTTGGTGATGGTTGTTTTAGAAATTTTAAAGACACAAATTGCATTGAAATACACAAAAATATAAAAAGTATTGGAAGAATGTGTTTTTGTCAATCGTTCACTCGAGAAAATGTGATGTTTGAAGACGCAGACAATGTCATTATTTCTGAAAACGCATTTGATAATTAACATTTCAAGTATAGTTGTAGATTAAGTATCAATTTAATTATAAAATCAGTTCTGTAATTATATTGTATTGGATATACAATATAATACTTATCGATATAATACTTATCGATCATAAGTATATATAATATATATTTATAATACATACTCATAGAATATTTTAAATTTAAATAAATACAAATTGTTGTTCATTTCAAAATATTTTCAATAAATTAACTTGTTCATAAATGTAAAGATATGGGTTTAAAATGAATTAGAATGTTAAGTGAACAAAAATTATATATAATTAGAATAAAAATTGGTATTTAAAATAAGTTGTTGTTTTTAGTTGTGTGTTGTGAGTTGTATTTATTAAAAAATAATAACCAAATCATTGTAATTACGGAGGTTAATTGGTTTTTGTTTGCAAAACCACGACTTTTTCAAATTTTGTGTTGTCGAAGCACCCCATTCCAATATTCTTGATGTGTTCCAAATTTATTGTGTTTAGTGACACACAATTATCAAAACAGAAGGGGGTTAACTCTGTTATTGACGATGGTAATATGACATTCTCGAGTTGTGTTGCACACGCAAAACAAAAATTACCAATTTGAGTAATGTTATTTGGTATTTCAATTTCAGTAATTGTTGTGTTATTAAAAAATGCACCTTCATCAATGCGATGAACATTTTTATTTTTCAAAATATCAATTCCAAATATTTTTAAATCATTAAATTTCACTTTTACGTTGTCACAAATAATGCTATTCTTTTCAAACTGTTTGTGAAGTGTATAACTGACTTCTCCATTATAATTGTTTATCTTTTCACCTTCAATTTGTATTTCGGTGAGTGATGTACATCCTTCAAATACATCATTTCCAAATTTTATATTTTTGTTTTTAAAATTGACACTTTTCAAATTTAAGCAATTCATGAAACAGCCATCCTCCATTTTTACAAGTGTTTTTGGGAATGTAAGACTCTCAAGGAAGTAACAGTTTTTGAATGCGAATTTCTCAATTGTTTTAAGTGTTTCTGGCAATACCATTTCTTTCAAGTTATAACACTTCATAAACGTACAATGAGGAATACATTCAACATCTCCAAACCTTTCAAATTTAACAAGCGAATTGCAACACCAAAAGACTCCTCGTTTTAAAAATTGAATTTTTGGAATTGTTTTTAAATTAAAACAATTCATAAAACACTGCGAGTTATAAACAACTTCCTGTGACTCACAACACACACTTTCAAGCGAATAACAAAATGCAAAACATCGTTCACCAACTTTTTTAAGACTTTTTGGGAGTGTTACACTTTTTAATGAATAACAATTATTAAACACTTCATAACATATTTTTTCTAATGTGTTTGAAAATGTAACACTTTGTAAAAATTGTGCACCACTAAAACATTCACCAGTGATTTTCTTTGTAACCAACGACACGTCCACGTCTTTGATATAATCAGTATTACAAAAGCACCTGTCAAGAACTTCAATTTTTGATGGTACCACAAACTTGTCATTATCATTAAAATCTGTTAAAATAAAGCTTTTCAATGAACCTGTATTTTTTAAAAAAACATTTTTATCTTGGTTGTAAATATATTTAATCACAGAAAAATCAACCTTTGTACCATACAAGTCGTAATCACTTGTATAGTGTAATTGACATTGTGAAATGTGTACCCAAACGCTTTCATTTGAAGATAAAACTCGTAACTGACAGCAACTGTTTTGAAAAATAATTTTTTGAATTGTTCAATGTTATGCATGTTTGAATTGTCTGATTTGTTTAAACAGCAACAGAATGATATTTTAGTGAGTTTGTTACACTCATCCAATATTAAACTTTCAAATTTTTTGATTGTTATAGGAAATACAATTTCACACAAATTTTTGTATTTTTTGAAAAACGTATAACATATTTTTGTGACACTTGATGGGACTTCTATTTTTGTACTATTAAGAGGAAACTCGACGTTATAATTCAGTTTTGTTGTATTTGGTGTAACATTGTGGATATTTTCTTGGTCTTCAGTTTCTTTTTCAATATCAAAACTGCGTCCATCTTCAAATACAATCGAATTCAAATTGGTGCATCCAGCAACAACACGTTTTCCAATTTTTGTAACACTTTTTGGGATATAAAGTTAAGTCAAACTCGTTGAATCCGAAAAGCCTTTGTTCCAATTTCATGCACATTTGGCGGCACGACAAATTCTTCAAGTTTTGACCTTGAAAAGCAACACTTTGGAATTTTTGTGATAGTGGATGGTATTTGTATTTTATTTGCGTTGTTCACATAAAAATTAGATTCATTTAACAAAAAGGCATTTTCAGATATCAAAAGCTTCTCAATTGGATTATTGAAGTTGTAACATCCGATGTCTGCTTCAACAATAGTAGTAGGAATGTACACTCTTGGGTGTTCACTCAAATAATTAGAATCATTGTCAAACATGTCCAAATCCCCAAGATGAATGTAATCAGCGTGATTAGAAACATCACATAATGTGTCACAAAAGTTGTCAAATTTAAACACTTTCTCAACAATTTCTTCGCTTTTCATTACATTCAAAACTTTAATTCCAAGCCTCATAAATATTTTCTTTTCACTTTCAGTTGCAGTGTACACGTGTTTCATATAAGAAAATGGAACATCTAATTTGGTTAGTGAAGTGCATTGTTCAAAACAGCCGCCATCTTCAAAGATAACATTGTCATTAAAAACAAGTTCTTTCAATTGTTCACATTTCTCAAATGCAAAACTTCCAACTTTTCGAACTTTTTGTGGAACGTCAAATTTACTCAGTTTTTTACAATTCGAAAAAGCATTTTGATCAATGACTTCCAAGTTCGTAGAAAGAGTAATTTTTTCAAGTAAGTTGCACTCTGAAAACGCGGAGTCTGCGATGATCTCTACGGTGTTGTCCATCACAACTTCTTTGAGATGCTTACAATCATAACACGTCATACGGGGTATACACGTTTTACCACAAAATTTGATACTTGTGAGTGTATTTCTAGAGAATACAAGTTCGTTGATAAAGACCTTCTTATCAACTGTAAAATTATTGAAAGCACATTCATTAAAAGCACGATATCCAATCAACGTCATCTGTTTACCAAAGCTTACGGAAGATAGTGATGTACATCTATTGAAACATGAGTCTGGAATGAACTTAAGCAGTTTTGGGAGTTTAATTTCTTTCAAATTTATGCAATTGTAAAATGAGTAATTACCAAGTGTCATGAGATATGGCGGCAAAACAATTTCTGTGATATTTGAGCAATCAGAAAATGCGTATTGAGAAATTTCAATGACTGAGGTTGGAAGAATTATTGAAGGTACATCACAGTTTTCAAATGAATTGTTTCCAATTTTTTTGACGAAGTTTGGGATTATGCCGTCAAAAGCGATTTGGTCTTCTTTTATAAAAACAGAGATAGGACAAACGTTGTAATTTTTTAACTCAAATAAATAATTATTTATTTGAGTTAAATAAAAAACTTTTTTGTGTTGGCAATTCAGAGCAGAGTGCCGTTAAAATTCAATTCACACTTAAAGCAGAATTAATAATTCTAACTTTGGATGAACCACTAAATAAACAACTTAAAACGAGGTTATGCGTGTGAAGTAGAAATTCTTTTATTAATTCAGTGTACACTTAATAGGAATGTTGTAGAATGCAACAATTGGACTTAAATATTTACATTTAAATGGAATATTACACAGAGACATCAAATTGGACAACATCATCAATTTCTCATTTTATATAAATGAAAAGGGTAATACAAAATTGACCGACTTTGGGAGTGCATATGATGTGAGAATGCAAGAAATGTGAATATGATGATGATTAACACAATATTCACAAATAGCATTGGTACTCCAAAGTACATGGCACATAATATATTCTCAAAAGATAAGTTTAAAATACCAGCAGATATCTATTTGTTTGAAATGACTATGTATGAGTGTTTGAATGGAAAGTTTGCGTTTCAAAGTGACACTTTTATATATTAATGGAATATTGTCAATTTTGTAAATAAAAGTTATTGAATGCAAAAACCTAATACAATCGGTGAACATAAATTTGTAATTATTTAAATGTGTTTAAAACATAAAGCAAAAAGAACATATTTTAGTTAAAGACTTTGTGGAAAGACTTGAAGACTTGTATATGTAATCGTGTATTTATTATATACTTGATGTTATTTTTGGTTCATTTGGTTATTAATTAAAGTTTCCAATATATAATAATTCTAATAGATTTAATTGTTATAATTTTTTGACGGTTTGATTAATGAAATACTATAAAAATCATTTATAATTAACCACAAAATATTAAAATATTTAACTATATCTTGTAGTTTTTATGGAAAAAAAATCAAAAACAACAATAGAGTAACATATATTTCAATTAAAAAAAGCCATTCTGTGGATTCTTTTGGATAGAGAGAGAAAATGTAAATAATTTTGTTATTGCCGCCCAAGTCAAGCCACTGATCAATTGAATACAAGTGAAAGGTCAACAATTTCAAATCAAAAGATCAATTTAAAGGTGTTGACAAAAATAAAAGATGTAGTGGACACTTTTTTACAAAAGTACAAAACAATTACATGTCCAGCATATTCCAATTGTCACTGCGACTTGCAATTAAAACGTTTCCATCAATATTAACAAACTATCAAGAAATCAAAAACAACGAAATAAAGACTTGGAAATAAAAAGAAGAAGTCAAGATACTTGATGTTGGCGAATAAACACCAAATCATTTTTTCTGTAATTGATGATGGTATTTTTGAAGTGAAGAAAAAACATATGGAAACACAATCAGTAGTGATTAATGTATAACAACAAAAAATTAAATCACTTCATTATGGAATTCAAAGTGTTAAAATTTTATCAATTTCGATATTATATTATTGACTCTTTTAACTATTCTTTATTTAAACAAAACCAAAAAATAAACAAATAAAAATTAACTAAATTATCACATTAATTTCGATGAATTACTGTATTTGATAAGAAACAATAATCACCAATTGATGTGACACATGTAGGTATCGTAACACTGCTTAGACTTTTACAATTATCGAAACAATTATTACCAATTGATGTTACACTCGATGGTATGTTATTACCAAATATCATTCTATCATTAAGAGTGTAAGTAACATTTTTAAACTCGATGTTTCGACTTTTGTTTCTGTCAACAGTTTCAAAATCAACATTAAACCACACGATGATTTTAAAGAACTCTTTCTTTAAAACAACTTTATTTTCACAATCTCCATTTTCAACTGTGTTTATCAGAAGTCCATTACCAAAGTTCTCGTCTTCTACATTCCACAAATGAAGTGTCTCGATGTTTGGAAAAAATCCAATTGTTTTGGAATTCAATGATATTGGGTTGAAGTGAAACTTCTTCATATTACCACCAAACTTCTTGCATACTAACTCCAAGTTAATGAAGTCTCCAATAGTCTCGAGGTACTTCGACACTATCATGATGTGATAACCAGTAAGTCTTGACATTTTGATTTTTTAAGTTTTTGTTGTTTAACCCTTCGAGGACGGGAAAAATCAAAATTTGTAAAAAAATAAAAATCTTAGTCAATTGTAATGTAAATGTGACTTTTTTTCTTTAATTTTTTCAAAAAAAGCCAGACACCCTGGAACGACGGCTCTAGTATATTTTTATAGTAAAATGTTATAAATTATAGTAAAAAAGTAATTTTTTGTTGAAGTTGGGATGAACAAAGGTTCACTTTTTTGCTTGATCCTTTCAGAAACAAGTCACATTTCAATGGAAAAGTCAGATCAAAAATTTATTGAGATGTCCACAACCAATTACGATAATAAAATTAATTATAAAATATAACAAAGACCAAATTGCATCATAAAACATACTGGTCTGGAATATTCAAAATTAATTACATCATAAAATAACAAAGAAAAGAAATAAAACATAGATCTTGAGGTGTCTTGAAATTTGAATATGCAATTGATCTCAAAAATAATTACAAGGGAAATTAAATAGATTTTTTTGTAAACTTTGAAAAATACAATAATTTAAAAAATTGGGTTTTACTATTTTTTTATAATACAATAAAGTAAGACGAAAAGACACTTTTGTTTGTTCCGACTTTGAAAAATAAATCTTAAAGAAAATAAATGTAAAATAAACAAAAAATAACTAAAATACATTTTCAAAAGTATAAAAAATCACAAAATCGAGAAAAATTCTCGAAAATGACTTAAACAGTCAATATAGTCGCGTTTGTATAAACTTTGATCACCATGAGGTTTTATGGTCACCCGTTGAGTTTCAAGTCGTGCCACTGTCAAAGAAGCAAGATATGAATTCATTATTTGTTATTTTATTTTTTTATCATTTTCAAACAAAAACAAAGGGCAAAATTGATTTGATATTATCATTTTCATATAAATGTTATTGTATATGGTAATCAAATGCTTATTTTGCATTCACTGTTTATGCATTTTTAAATTATGCATTTTTGGGCAACAAACAAATAATTTAAATTAAAAATAAAGGGATAATAGAAATTATAAACAAAAAAACAAATAGCAAAAAACTTAACAAATAATAAAAAAATATTTTGAACTATATTATATAATAAAAAATATTATTTATTAAAATGGAATTTTAATAAATTATAGTTTTGTCATAATAAATTTACAATTTGATAGAATTATCAACAAACACCATTATAACATCATTATCACCATAATACTCATGCATATACTTTACCAACGGTTGTTTATGGTGTTGAGTAACGACATCACGATGTTGTTATAACACAAGTTTTTAAAAACTTATCCATAAGTAAAAAAGAAAAAAAATGGTATAATGACCCCTATTTTTATTTTATTTCACGATAATTTTTTTCGAGGTTCAATAAAAAAGCACGTATTGAATGAAATAAACAGTTCCAGCTTTATAAAAAACCAAACAAAATAGAAAAATCATTTCATTTTCATTAAAGCACCAGAAAGATTGTTCAAAAAATCCACTCGTTTGCAAGGGTGGTAATTTGAGTACGTTTTATACGCGTTTAAGGCAGCTATATCAATCATATCATATAAAGCCCTGATGTTCCACCTGTTTGTTCGACGTCTACACGTATAATACCTGGTCATCTGATCCACAGTGTCAACCCCACCCATTTTGTGGTTGTAATCAAGGATGGGCTGGGGTTTGTGTATTGTCATTTTTTCTTTGCCAATGAACACATCCTGCTCGACGACTTCAATTTCATTCTTTTCGTGGCAGGTTGACAAGACCAATACCAGCTTCTTTTTCTCGTTGAAGTAAGAGATGAGCTTACACTTTCCTTTCGAGAAAAAGATGGTGGTATCGGGAGTTCTCCCTTTGATGGTCTTTGCTTCGTCAGGAAGTTCTTTCCTATTAATCCTCATGGTTCCCAAAAGTTGGCACCCACATGAAGCAAGGTAGTGTGACAACCTTAACGTACAGAAGAAGTTGTCACACACAACGGTAAACTTGTTACCACCGCATAACATGGGTAGCACCATGTCCCCGACCACTCTAAAGCCCTGATTGTCCTCCTTACCACCACACTTACCACAGTACATTTGGAGGTTTAGAGTCATTCCTGTCTCACAGTCAGCACACATCTACGAGTCAGAAAACTATAAATAACTCAAATAAACAAATAATTAAATTATTAAATTTGATTATACATGTCAAACCAATAATAACTATCCGTCATTTTTGACTTCATAAATAAAACTCATTTGGTAAAAATAGAACAAACCCAAAACTTTATACCATAACGTCCAGGCTTAGACTTAATAAACACCTTAGCACACATACGCCCTTTATAAAAACACAAATGTTCGTCAACAGAAACACTATTACTAGGTTTGTAATAAGTTTGGTTGACAAGGTTGAAAATAAACTTATCTAAAATCACTCTAATTTTAGAAAAGCTGTCGTGTGCATTTGGAGTTATTGCAGGGACGACTTTAACAACTCCACTACCAACGATGCCCCTTTTGATTCTGACATCTTTCCTGAGTTGCTCTTCAGAGAGATCTCTGAAATCTCGATCTGAATATTCCGCGCAGTTGAAATACTCTCCTTCTGGTCCGTTATCAACTTCCTCTTTCTCTTCGACATCCCCATCATCTGAAGTGTCTGATGCATCATCACAAACATCATCTGGCTGGCCCACATCGTAAGTTTCGATGTGTGAAGAAATGAATTTAAACATGTCACGTGGCATGCTATTTCTATAAATAGATTTTCCGTGGTCGATTGACCAAAGCTCTTCCACGGGATTAATGACATCACGGTGAGCTCCCATGTTGAGAAGAATTCCTAGGTACCTCAGAATGCTCGTTTTAGAAAGTTTGTTATCATCAGTCTTATGTTCTTTGGCTATTTTTTTATTTGAAAACAACAAAAGGTTATTTGTTATCTCTTCACAAAAAACAACCTAAAACACTCAACTTCAGTTAAATTACTTCCTTTGGGATCAAACGAGTAAGTCGGATCAGGCGAAGCTTTAACGTGTCGTGAGCTTTTTGGTGCTTCTCCTTCTTTCTTCCATTTAAATGTGCCAACAATCTCGTCTTCTTGCATAAGGTTTATGTTTATTAAATTCGATAAAAATGTTTGCGATAGAAATTTATTGTTTTAATTTAACATATTATAATATTACATTGATTTACATGTATATAATAAATAATAATATTATTATAAAAAACGATCAACAAAACATTTTTTTAAACATTTTTGTATTATATAAAAATAATTTAAATTAATTAAAAAAATCATTATAAATTTAATTTATACTTTAGATTATATTTATTTTAAAATAATACAAATTATAACTAATTTTCATTGTTATTATTGATTATATTTATTAGT